GAATTTGGCCTTGGACACTGTGCTAGGATACCACACCTTTAGTATATCAAACATAGTTGTGGCAATGGCATGCGTATTTAATATCTAATGATTATTGCTTTTTGAAATTGATTTTTAGGTGTTATTATATATTATTGAAAGCACCAGTGCAGTATTTTTAAGTGACCTGTTCTCTCTTCACACATGTTGTTATGATATTCCTTTTATTATATGAGTTCTGTATAAAGGAGTAATTGATTCTGATTTGATTACCAAAGTTAATCATTTGTATTTCAAAAAGATTAAAATTTAAGATATCTATTTTGCTGATCACACTATTCCTTAAATTTTATTGTTTAACTCAAATTATATCAAACAACTGTTAACAGCATTGTGCTAAGTATTGTGGAGGAATACATGAGTAAAATGCATAACAGTCCTGGTTTTAAGAAAAAGTCTCATAAAAGAGGAAAAGGAGGGGAGAAAGTATAAATAATTTATTATACATGCTAGCTGTTAAGTTAGGTTCTCATGTTTTTTTTTATTTAATTCTCATTATAGTTCTTGAAGGTGGTCAGTGATAGCCCCAAGTGGGGCACTTGAAACTCAGAGAGATTGCAAGTTTCCCAAGATCACACTACTTATAATGGTCATGAGCAAGGCCAGATTTGATCCAGGTTTGAATCCAGAACTATTTTTGGAAGTGATCTTTGAGAAAATGCCTGCTGTTATAAGGCATAAAATTTGGGGAAGGGGAGATAAAAGGAAAGTTACTTTCATAGAAAGAAAATAATGTAGCTTTGTATATGGAACATCAGGCTGTACTACAATGCTTAAACTTTTTGGTCTCAGGATATTAAGGGGCCAAGTGAACCTTTGTAAATAATTAATATTTACATGAGAAATTAAAGCATTTAAAACATGAAGGGAATAATTTAGAACCAATAAACCCTATTACATAATAACTTAACGCATCATTAACAAAATTTGTCTATATTTTCCCCCAAAAGTGCCATTTTTTATGCATGTTTTGGTTTTATTATAGAAAGGCATATATGACAGTTGAAGTCACATATATGTATCCAGTCTGTTACAGTATCACATGCTATTAAGCCTATGGAAAATCCAATGCAGAGATAGTGAGATATTGAGAGTGAAAAGACAAATATTTATAGTTTTGTTATAAAGCTGATTTTAACTTCACAGATCTCCTAAAAATTTTTAGAATACTTAAGATAGTTTTTTTTTTTTTTTTTTTGAGAATTACTGGGTAAGTGTATAAAGGAAAATCTAACAGAAGTGTAGGATTAGAACTGGGTACAAGAAGACCTTCATTGATTGGGTTTGATTTTTAAGAAGCAGTGGTGAGACACTTATTTTATAACAGAGCTATAAAATAATCAGCTGTGCTTTTAGAAGTTTATTGTGTAAGTAATGATATAGATATTTGGGAAGCATTTGTGGTTGAGGTATTGTTGGTTTTTAAGGTAAAAGTAAGTCATGTCAAATGGGCAGTGAAGCTAGAATATATTGACATCATCATTTCACTATATGTGTAGGACAGGAAAAGGAGAAGAGCCAAAGTAAACATGAAATTTTTAGCCTGGTAATTAGAAAACTAGCATTTCAATTAACATTATAGGAAATATAAGGAAAGAAACAAGGTTGGGAAAGAAAATAGTGAATTAAATTTTGGAAAATATATTAAAAAATAAAGAGTACTTTATCTTTTACTTTAAAGTAATTTTAGTCTTACCAAAAGGTTGCAAAAATACTACAGGTCGATTATATATACCTCACACCTAAGTTCCCTTAGTATTTTATGATTTACATAATCATTGTACAGTTATCAAAATGAATAAGGGAACATTGGTACTGTACTATTAACTAAACTGTAGACCTGATTGAGAGTTCACCAGTTTCTTGGAGCTTTCCTTTCTTGTTCCAGGATTCAATTAGAGTTCACACTGAGTTTAGTTGTTCTGTCTCCATAGACTATCCCCTTTAGTCTGTGACAGTTCCTTATTCTTTCCTTGTCATTTTTAATGAAAAGATGCTTATATGTAGTATATATTTAAAAAGCAGTATTATTTCAGATATTTTAAAGTGCATGAGAATCTGGGTAAAAATCATTGTTTTTACTGAGCAAAAAAAAAAGAGTAGGTTTTTTCGGTTTGTGTGTTTGTAGTTTTTGCTTGTTTTATATTTTCACTTAATTAGCACATTTCATTTTTTTGTTTTTCAAATTTAAAATCAGTAAAATACTGTACCTTTTGGCTTCTGTTGGTCATTTGTCTGGCGAAAGGTACCATAGTTTCACATACCTATTTTCAAACAGAAAAACACCTCTTATTTCCAGACACATAGTTTAACAAAGGGATGAAACATTAGAAATTTAGACTCTCGTGAAAATTCTAGGATGTATACATCTCTTCACCCAGGCATTAGTGTCATTTTTAGTAGTAATAATGATTGATAACGACTGTTAAAAGAGTGTTTGATGCATTGTCAATAGCCTCTTTCCTATGAAGTGAGTTTTAAATAGACAGTCTGAGAACCTCCCTTTGCAGTTCAGTTGTTGGGTTTTAGTTCTCTGCTCTTCTGGGCATAATCAGAACACAAAAATAAAACAACAATGTAACGTATTATCCTTTAGTACTTAAAGGGGACTTGGCCATAGTTAACACTTGAGATTTGAACATAATTCAAGGCTGTCCAAAGTGAAATATGGTTCAGGTTTTTTTATTAGTAAGAAAATAAATTTGTATATATTTATGTATGTGTATGATTTAGTGCACATTATCTCTAAAATAAATCATTAATACAAATCATTAACAATTTTAAACCACAATTAGCAGTAATCATTTTCTAAGTAATCTATTTTCTGTTGAAGGGGAAAGAAGACCCATGAAGTCACTTAACACTTAATGTTTAGAAAATTCAGCATGAGTTTTTTCAGATGCAGACTCTCCTAGAAGTCCCAATTTGAAAACTGTTAAAAATTACTCTAAAATGGGACAGTGACTTTGGTACTGAATGTTCCTCAAACTTAAACTACTTAAATATTGCATTCTGCTGCTAGAGAATTGGATAGTTGTTATCAATATCATATTATCTGAACATTTATTTAAACCTCAGCATATACTAGAGACTGCTGTATACTTCATAAGCATCATTTCAGTTGTTCATCTATGAGTGAAAGTAGTAATGATACTTTACATTAATGAAAAGTAAAGTTGGGAGAGAAAGACGAGTGATTTGCCCTGGGAGACTTGAGTTTGCACTTCACTCAGTTACTTAGGCATATATCAGTTTCTTAGGAAATCTTTCTCCTACCATGTCCTCTTCTTGTTTCCCTTATTTAGAACCCTGAACTCACTGCTGTGATTACCGTAACAAAGATTCTAAGGTGCACATCTTTTACATTTATCATTTCTAAAATCTGAATCTTATAATTAATTGATGGTATCTTAAAATTAATTGGCAGCATTTCACCATAATTACTGGTATGTAAAATAAAGCTGTGACGTTCAGTTGATATCACTGTAGATATGATGAAATGAAGTATTTGTTTATATATATTTCCATAAAACTGTTTACATCATTTTAATAGCTTTAAATACCAGGTATATATAATAATTTTACATTTTCTAATAAAGTACACCTTTAAGCTCAGCCCTATATGTTGAATAGATTTTCTGTTCATATCACAAGTATCACAGACTCTGTATGCTTACTTTTCAAGTCAGTTTATTTTTCATCTTAGTAAGTTGCATTTAACTTTTCTTTATTTGTAAAGCTAAAATGCTAGAATTTTGAATGTTCTGGTTTAAACCCCATTTCTACCCTATAATAGTGAAACATGTCACCTTTATTCTTACTCTGTAAAATGGGGAACATAGAAACACCTGCCTGTGAAGGATTATTGAGACAACAAAATGTGGAGAACGTATTAGCTGCCACTTTCTCATCATGTATATGTGTCCCTTCTCCTTACTCTGCACATATGCACTCTCATCAAGTCCATGTTGATGGCTGGCCCTTTAATAAGATTCCTCAGATTATCCATTTTTGTCTGTAAAGTAACCTTTTAAAGCTAGTCCAAGCCCATTTCCCTTGGTGTAGTAGCTAACCTTGTAGATTCCCTCTTTCCTATCTCCTCATCCATTCAATTCATAGACGCGCTAAGGTGGTCTTTTATATCAGATCATGCCAAATCCTTAATATGCTGTATCTAGTTTTCAGCATTCTGCCTCACCTTTGCTTACTTTTCAGTTTCATCTTAAGCCATTTTGCCTCCCAGGGTCACACATTTCTCCTCAAAAAAACTCTGTTCATTTTTTCAACTTCAGCTTAAATGTCACTTCCTCAGAGATATTCCATGGCCATGAAAACTAAATTAGTTTCTTCAGTCCAAATATGTAGTTGTTTAAATTGAACTTATGCTTTCCATGTTTGGAGGTGATGAATTCCTTCCCCAAGAAGGTAAGGAAATTAAGTAACTTCCCCAGAATCTTAGGGCTACTTATTAAAGAGCTAAAGTTCCAACCCAGGATCAGCCAACTCTAAAGCTGGGCCTTTCCATGATCCTTTGCTTTTTGAAAGCAGAAAATAGCATATGAATCAATGTGCTGACTTCAAAATATGGCCTGACTGCTCTCCTTTCTTTATATTTAACATTCAGGTTTTCCCTGAAATATCCATCTCTCTATGAGCCTAACTCTTCACTTGTTGATTGTAAACCTATTGAAGTAGCACCTATTTCTCATATATTACATACTTAGCATTTGTATAAATTAGCTTGCATACATAGATAACTCATTTAATATTTTTATCCTTAGGAGTGCTAGAGAAAAACAATATTTTAGTCTATTTAATTTTTTAAGTTTCATGCTTTCATATCTTGAATAGGATTGGCTAAAAAGGTTTTAAAGTGAAGTTAATAGTTTATGTCATTTGGGATTATTAGGTGTGTTTCATTAGAAAAGGAATTAATTTTAAGTATTTTCCCTTTGCTTTAGGAATTGAGTGACCTACAGCGTGACCCACCTGCTCATTGCTCAGCTGGACCTGTAGGAGATGATTGTAAGCTTTGCTCTATTGCTAGGATTTTGCTACCATTAACATAGGTTTGAATATTTGTTAATGACTCCAAAACTCCTTTGTATTTGTTTCAGTGTTCCACTGGCAAGCAACTATTATGGGGCCTGTAAGTATGTTTCATATATATGAAATTAATTCCCTCAGCCAAACTTCATTTTTGCCATTTCACCTTGATTAGATGTTTGTGGCTAAAGTTGAATTTTCTTGTGCTCTGAAAGACTCAGTATGCAAAATACTATTAAAGGATTTGTGATGGTTATCTAGAACACTATGGTAAAAAATACTTGCTAGGATCCTGTGATGTTTTACTTTGCTTCCTTGATCATTGCACATATTAATGGATCAACATAATTTGCAACTGGGCTGTTTGCCTTATTTTAAACACCAAATGTCAGTTGCTCAAAACTAAACATAATTATTCTCATATCAGTATTTTTAGTAGGTTAAAAACAAATGTAACCAACCCAATAATGGAATTCCTATAAGTAAGAAGCACCAGTTTACAATAAGTTTTATAACTTTACCGCTTGTACAACAAAACTGATAAAGTATTGCTGTGGGTTTGTCCTTGCAACTCTGAGTTTGTCACTTTCTTAGTTTTGTTACATTGCCCTGAACTCAGAATTACTTGCTATTTTATGCTAACTTTTCTTAACACTTAGAACCTTTGGTAAGGTGATATCTTTCTATCCTGAGAGGCAGTTATGACTTTAAACAGAATTTTCTGTCAACAATCAAAAATCTAAATGCATATGAATAGGTGCTGTGCTGACAGATCAAATCGACTTCTGGGTGAGAGTACAGTAACATGTTCCATGAACATCATCTTACCTCCCTTTCCAGAAAGAGGTTTATTTAGTAAGTCACAGAATTTTTAATCATATTGTCTTGTGTTTAACTTAATGAAAAATAATGAATTTTCAGAAAAAGAATTCTGTACAAGTATCTAAAGTTACTAAATTGTTAGATTAAGGTAGTTATTTAAAGATTAAAAAGCAACATGTATGGCCCTCCCTGGTGGCGCAGCGGGTTAAAGCACAACACTGAGAATCTAAAGCCGCTTCCGCATGAGTTCGATTCCCGCCTGCCCTGGAGGTGACCACATGGCGCGGCAGACCTCTCCTGACCCGCCGCTGCTCCCCTCAGCAGTGTTCTTCGTGGATCTGCCTGTTCTGCTCCCCACTCTGTCTCTGGTGAAGCCTCTCACCACCCCTGAGCCTCTGGCCTGTACCCCAGTTCTGTATGCACAAATAAATCTTTAAAAAAAAAAAAAAAGCAACATGTATTTAAATAAGTGTTCAATAAGAACCCTTTGGTTTCTGTTTTGCTTGCTAAAAGCATCAAAATACTGTCCTTTAAAGGCCACCTGTACCATCTGAATTATAGCCCTTGTGAAATATTCTTAGATGAGTCACTTGTAACAAATGGTTGCCATTATGTTACCCATAGCCCCTTTATTTTAGTAATGTAAACATGCCATTCTATAGTATTATGTGAATACTTAAACCCACCATATTTGTGAATTGTAATTAACTTACATTTTCAACATTCTTTGTAATTCTTGATGAACTAGAATTAAACCATATTTATCATAAGAATAATTATACAGTATAGTCCTCGAATACAGGTACAGAAACTTAAAGAGGAAGTAATGAGAGTATTGTTCTTACTGCTAAAATGTAATACGTGATAAATTAAAATAAATTTAATTCTATAAATTTATAGAATTAAATAGAATGTTAGGCATTTTACTACTTTTTTCTTTTTGGTCATCTTTTATTTTTCCTTGCGGTAACAATGTAGATTAGATATCTTCAGTTTGCCACAGAGCAAATATTGCCAAATTTAAACTTCTCTTATCAAGTTGATTCCTAATTTCATAATTTGGTGACTACTGAATTTAGCTAGTTTTATCCTGGCCTTTTTTTTTTTTTCTTCATTAGTCACATTTATAAACTGCTACTAAGTGAAGATTTAAGACCTAATGTGTCACTTAGGCTTTCATTTTCATAACTTGGTATTTTCTATTCATCTCCATTCTTGCCCTTTAATGGATCACCAGAACTAAAGGTTTATAAATAGGAAGGTAAAAATTCTAGCCCCAGCCCTTTTCCCCCGTACTGATTGCTGCTGCAGAAAAGTATTTTTTCCTCATAACAGTCTTGAGTCTGTACTCATAAACAAATTTATTTGTGCAAATCACATTGTGTGCCCTTGGCTTTTATCTTGTTTTAAATCCTGTATGCCAACACGATTCTTGAAAAATCCTCCTTCATACCTGCAAAGGGAAACCTGTTTTCAAGGTAAATGATTTGAAATTATGACAAAATGATGGCATTGTCTTCGAACTGATATTGTGGGGTTAGGGGAGTATTAGTTTAGATTACTAAACTTACAGAGAAACCAGACACTGATGCAAATATTTTGTAATTTCAGCCTGATAGTGCATATCAAGGTGGAGTCTTCTTTCTCACTGTACATTTCCCGACAGACTATCCTTTCAAACCACCAAAGGTATTTATTTTTATGATGGTGTGGCTTTTGTATTAGCAATCTTACTCCCTATTCAGAAATACTTTCAGAATGTCCAAAGACTGGATTGAGTAAAATGTCCAAACTGTCTTGTAAAACTGCTTATTCTGAAATTTACTTTTTTTACTCAGATATGCTCAGATTTTACTCAGATTATGTCTCTACAATAAAGGACCATATATCTGTTATGCTATAAATTAGATTTCTTACCTTTCTTTCCCTCACTAAAAGAAATGCATTTTGAAAAGTTTCTTAAGGTCAAGAATCAGACTTTTCAACTCAGGTGACCCATCTTTTAAAATTAACCCCTTTTTTTTTTCCTTTTAACTATATGACAAACATTTGTTGAAAACCTACTACATTCCATTGATCCATTAGGGAATACAAAAGTAAATACAACATAGGTCCTTTGTTTAGTGTGGCAGGAGATAAAATAAAATACATTCTTATTAAGTTTAAACCAGATCTAAAGGTAACAAACAAACAGGAATGTTAGGGAGGGAGAAAAATCAATTAACGATCTGTCACTCAGGAAGTAATTATTTTAGATTTATGAAATGATGAAACAACTCTTGTGGAAGTCTATTATTGATAGACTTCTTAGGATAGGTAACAAACTGATGCTACTTAGCTTTCCCCTAGAATCATATTTTTAGAACTAAGTATCACTGATAATCAAGTTAAGAAAATGACTACTTTGAGAAATTATGAAAGTCATGGTTAATCACTTCAGGTTCAACTCACCCAGTCATACAGACTATTACAGACTTACTTATTACACTTTCCAAAATACTTCTCAATTCCTGGGTGGGCAAGAAGAGGAGTATCTTTCACATTCCCAATAATTAAAGCTTTGTGGGCTCAAAGTAGCTGTTCAGTTTGTGATGAATGTATTTCTGCACTACAGTCAAATAAAATTGAAGGTATTTTAGAGCTAATTGTTTTGTTCATAGTTCGTGGAATGTAACATTTCTGTTTTGTTTAATGTTTAGATTGCTTTCACAACAAAAATTTACCATCCAAATATAAACAGTAATGGAAGTATTTGTCTTGATATCCTGAGGTCACAATGGTCACCAGCTCTGACTGTATCAAAAGGTAATTTCATTTATCAGTTTTATAACAGTTCATAATATTGAGATGGAAAAACATAGTACCTGGGAACCAAAAATTTGAGTAATGAATCTACTGTGTTTTTTCATGTTCTGGGTTTATTTTGCTTTTATACCTCTTATTTTATTGCTCTTTGCTTTTAGTGCTTTGAGGGTGGTGGAGCAGAAATTGATAGGCAAATGTAAATGATGAAATGAGAGAAATTTTAAACTAAAAATCTTGAGATAAAAAGCCTACTGAGATTTTACCCATTTTTGTTTGGGTTTTGGAGAGGGAGACAGACAAAGGGGGCAAAGGAGAGTAGTGTGGGGAAGAGAGAGAGAGCTGAAAATAATGTATTAAAACTTGTATTAATGTAGAAAAACTTCTATTCATTAAATGAAATTAGAAAAGCTTTATGTGATATTAGAAAAAATCTCTGCTGAGGCTGATAAAAGAAATTATTTAAAATGAGAGATACTTTAATATAGTAAATATGAGTAAATTTTGATTATTAATAACTTCATAATAACTGACATAATCCAGGTGGATGCTCAATTTTCACAGATTTTAGTATTGTTCTTTACTAAATTATCAGATATGTACACAGGTAGCTATTTTTGTCCCACTAGCCAATACTGTTTGCTATGCTAGTCATCTTAGTTTATGTCTTGTTTCTCCAACAGAAGAGAACCAGATAGTTGGAAAATAATGGTTTAAATTAGTAACATCTATCCCTGAAATAACCTGTTTTTTTTTTAAATTATAAAATTTAAGAAAGTTGTTTGTCTTGAATCATTTAGAAATAAGTCCATGGTCATTAAAATTTTTTTTTAAATAAATGGTATCTGAATATGTAATACATTGTTTTAAAATAAGACTTATATGTTTCCTCCCTGGTGGTGGCAATGGGTTAGAATGCAGCATTACAACCCCGGCCAGGGAGATGAGCCACATGGCATAGCAGACTTCTCTCTGGCCCGCTGCTCCCCTCAGCAGTGTAGTTTAGTCATTTTCTCTGTTCTGCTCATCCTGTCTCTGGTGAATGCTCTCATCATCCCCTGTACCTCTGGCCTATACCCTAGTCCTATATTCATAAATAAATAAATCTTTAAAAAAAAATAAATTAAGACTTATAGGAAGCAGGGTCTGTAGTCATAATTATTTCAATTATTAGTTAAATAATGATCCTTTAAGAAGGTTGTTGATAAATGGCAATTTTTCTGACCTAAAATGTTCTGTAGATTCTAGTGTCCTTGGTAAAAACCTTTCCCATAATGTAACTGTTGTGTGCTAGATAGAGGAAATTCTGTATACAAGTTTATTCAAATTAATATACTCCTTCCTGGAATAGTATCGCAGAATGAATGTCATTTGGCAAAGCAGCTAAGTACTTACACATAGAAAAGAAATGGCAGACTGCCAGATGTCAAGCATTTATCTTCTGACATTGGTAGCTTTTTATAAAGAATAATAAGTATTGTTGGTTTCTGGAAACTATCCTTTAAGAACTAACAGCTTTAGTTTCTTCATATGTAAAATTGGGATTTTAATAGCATTACCATGTAGGGTTGCTATGTACCTGGCACAAAGTAAGCACTTGAATGTCAAATATGTTTACTTTTTTTCTTACCTTAAAATATTTGATTTGTGTGTAAAATAGTGAAATCAGCATTTTTTCATTAGTCTTAGCACCCCTCCCTATCACTTAAGAATTAATGCTGCTATATAAATTCACTGTTGTATTTGCAAGGTAGGAAAAGATGATGGAATATTGTAGAAGGTGGAGATGAATTGTTCCAGTCAGCGTACCCCCTCAGAAGTGGTAACATGCAGTTGAGGCAAATGAGAAATAAGTTCATTTCTTCCTTTTTCGCATATTTAGTTGTTTTATTAAATGTAGCTATTTGCATTAGTTTTTTCATGTAATAAGGCAAGAAACAACTACTTTAATTTCATTTAAGTGAATGTCAAATATGTTTACATTTAGGTGATAACTCTTCATATTGCTTTTTAAAAGCATATAATATAAAAATAGATATGAAATTAAAAACTCATTGAAAAGATCTTACAACTCTTCTTTGTAGACAATCTGTGAATGGTAAACCAAAGTAGGAAAGTAGATGAATAAAATGTTCAGAGGATTTGGACTATTAATTCTAGTTTGATGCTTTTCTTAGATTAGAATACAGATTTTTTGCACTAAAACAGAGTAAAAATGGACAACTTTCTCATTAAAATAACAAAGCTATTTAAGGAACATGTAAACTTAGAATGTTGTTCTAAATTTTTTTTGATTATATACCATTGGGCATATATATCTGTTACACAAATAATACTTTTGTAACGCTCTCTCAAGATTAAATATTGTTAAAAGCTATCTTAAAGCGGTTCACATTTTTTAAATAAATAGAAATTAAAGTAGAATTTAGAACTTTAAAAGTTATGACAAACTTTAAAGGTTTGTGTTAAATACATTATATGGTAATTTTATTATTTTAAAAATTAAAGACATTTGCTGCCAAAGTCAGTTTAAAATATATGAGTTCATTTCATTTTGTATTTTCTTTATAAGAGCATTATTTATATTGAGTAAAATTATTTTCACATTTGTAGTTTGTATGATGCAGAACAATCATCTAATATGATATTCTCTTTTAAATCTAGTTTTATTGTCCATATGTTCTCTACTTTGTGACCCTAATCCAGATGATCCCTTAGTACCAGATATTGCACAAATCTATAAATCAGACAAAGAAAAGTAAGTGCTTACTTGTATTACTTTTTTGTTTCATTTTTGTGTAGTTCTCCAGAACATAAGTATTATTAACATGCTAACGTATATTTAATTATACTTATTCTGTTATTTGTAATCTTTCCAGTGGAGTTTCTTGTTAAACTCTGTAAAAATCTTTATGGTTTAGTATTTTATGTTTAATAGTACATGCTGTATGTTTGACAATGTTATGTTTTTGATAGCAAAGAACTATATATAATTCTAAGTAGTGAGTTTGAAATAAAAGAACTTGATATTGGAAAGTATTGAATATTGCACTTACTATATTCTGCCAGGAAGAGACAGTAACCTAAAACTCCCCAGACTGACCTAATTCTGAAGTTATTTCATCTCACTGATACCATTGACTCATTTGCACTTGCGGCTAATTCCCCGAACTTGACTTTCTATGTTTGTATTAGAGTTGATTTCATTTTTGTGTTTGTAACTTAGGTATTTTTTCATATATTTTATAAACTCATCAGCTAAAGTCTGTGGTATTTTAATTGTGCATGAGGTTAAGTCACAATAACCCAATATTGGTATGTGTTATTTCAGTTAATCATAAGAAAGTCATCTATAGTTTTATTTAGATAGGTCTTTTTAAGAGATTCAGTTTGTATATTTTTACTATATATCCCTTTTGTATGCCTACAGATACAACAGACATGCACGAGAATGGACGCAGAAATATGCAATGTAAAATCAAAATAAAATTTCATATATACCAGAGTACTGTAAAATCTAGGTTTCCCCCCCGCCCCAGCATTAGCAGTAAAATGAGCACCATTTACTGTCTCACTGTACCATGAAATCCTTTTGATTTATACCCATTTTAAATGTATTTCTGAAGCAAGACAAAACAAACTTCCAAAAATACCCTTAAGACTGTGATGAGAGCATTTATCATTTTGTATGCATTGAGAAAGACATTTATTATGGTTTTTAAGATACTTGGACATCTGCATCTTCAGCCTACAAGATCTACAATGCATCTGAAAAGCAACCAAATTATTTTTTGCTGAAACTAGATGTTTTTACATGAGAAATACTGTGTGTATTGTCTAAGATGTCGGTTTTATAAATCTGTATTCAGATTTCATTCTTTGTTAGCTCACTTTATAATTTGTATTTTTTTACTGTATAGACTAAATATATTCTATTTACATGTATGTCAACTCATTACTTTTTTTCCTGTGAACAGTATTGAAAAGCCCAAAAGCTGATAATGAAATGAATTAACTGTCCCTTGTCTTAGGGTATTCTGTAGCTCAATTACAGATTTCTCAAGTCCGAAATGATCTTTACACTGTAATTCTCAGTATATTGATTATGGAGAAACACTTGTTTTGAGTTTGTTATACTTGAGTTAACTTTATTGCAATGTGAATTAATTGCACTGCTAAGTAGAAAGATGTGTAACTTTTATTTGTTGCTATTCACGTTTGAATTTTTTTCTGTATAGGCAATATTATATTGACACCTTTTACAGACCTTAATGTAGCTTTTCCATATAAATAAAAAGCTTTTTCTACTATTTGTCTTGATTACTTAAAAAGATAAAAATTACTTTATCTTACAAGTAAGGATCAAAACACTATTTAAAATTTTGCATGAAAATTCCAGATTGTGAGAATGAGGTTTGTCATATTTGGCATAAACACCATTAATTATATAAATTTGATTGCTTTAGGTTTGTATCTGTTTATTAAGTTGTCTATCTAAAGAATGATATGCATTGGTTTCTTGTCATAGAAGAGAATTTAGAGTAAGTTGGAGTTTTTCATGGATCACAGCTATTATTTATTACATTACTGAAGTAAGGATAAGACAGTATTGATGTCTTATATACCTGAAAATAATTAGGTTAATGCATTAAAATGTAACTGTTAATGTATTTTTTAGCATTTTAAAATTAAGAATTTCTAAAATAGAATGTTAGTACCATCACAATTTGGAAAAGGGCATACTTTTTTATTGTAGAAGTTATAAAGAAAATTCTAAAATGATGCTTTCCTCTGTTTTTATAATTTCCATTTAAAAGTGATTTTAAAAAGCAGATTCTCTTTTCAGATTTTAAAGAAAGCTACGACGTTCTGATGTTTGACTTGGAAAAAAATACATCCCTTTCATTATTAGCATGCTTACCAAACTTGAGTGTCATTTTTAAGAAGAGTTGTAGCTCTTCTGGTTATTGCAGTAGATGTATAAGTGTGCAAGAATCTGTGATGGGTGTAGTCATTAGCAAAGCATTGAAGTCACTTAAGTATTTTACCATGGTTCATTATTATTAAAGCACAAATGACCCATTGTTAGAAAATGTGTTTTTTAAATGAATGTAAAATAATGAATTGTGAAATGGATGTTTAAGAAAATATAGAATTAAAAAGGTATATTAAGTGATGTCTTGAAACAGCCATATCATGAAAGACACTACTTTACTAGTTATATTATTATAAGCTACATTCACCCAGAAATTGAACACTCAAAACATCATTAGATTTAAGTATTTAGTACATTTTGATAGTAAAGGGTTTTGTTTCTTGAATATAACTTTTTAAAGAAAACTTTCACTTGTGTGGCATTTATTTTTGGAAATGTCTTTTTTCTTTATTAAAGTTTTTGAAACATGCCTAACTCTTGTTTGCCTTTGCTTACATTTGAATTGTACAACTAGACTCCTGAAGAATGAACTCACAAGTCTCATTGTCAACTAAAAATCATAAAGATTTCAGTGATGATGTGATGATCAGTCAGATCACCATTTTTGGTATGTGTTTGCTTGATTCTAACAAAGAGTACATTAGTTATTTTTTTTTAAATGTATAAATCTGAAGTCAGGGGGCTTCCTCATAGAACTAACTTAAGGACCTTCTCAGAATGAGGAAAGGGAAATGATTAGTATAGAAATTTAGGATCCTAACTTTTGAAGTCTCGGATACTTTGGGACATCGTTGTAAACCATATTTGGATTGGATTCTGGACTTGTAACTGCCACAGTCAATGAATTAAGGATGTAAGGTGGAAACGTATCACCCAGCTATCTCAACAAGGGGAAGTACAGATGTCTATGTAAACTGCATATAATAACTCATTTTTGCTTTAAGTATTTTCCCCCCTCCATGAACTGTGTTTGGGAGTATTAAAATTTTACTTTGTATATCTACTACTTGTAATTTAAAAAAATGAAAAGCCATTAGGTGAAACACATACACAAACAGAACACAAAGACAATAGTAACAGTTACTTCCTTCAAGTGATTTTTGGTTTTCTTTGTTCTTTTTTCTAGCTCCTTAAGTTTGAGATCATTTTTGTATCTTGATGTAGGTCAATATTGCTATCTTCTTTCTTTTTAGAATTGCTCTTGCTGCATTCCATAGATTCTGGTAATTTGTATCTTCATTTTCATTTGTCTCCAGGTACTTTTTAATTTCTCCTCTGATTTCCTCAATCCAGTAGCCATGCAGTAGCAAATTGTCTAGTTACCAAATATTTCTGTTTTTTCCTGCTGCTTGTGGTGGATGTGGTAGTTTGATGGCATTGTGGTCCAAGAAGATACTTGATAGGATTTCAGGTCCACTGTGAGCCAGGATGTGCACTATCCATGAGAATATACATGTGCAATTAAAAACTTGTACTCAGCTTTCTGGGATTAGAATGCAATATATGTGTCTGTTAAACACATTTGGCCTAACTACTCATTTAAGACTCATTTCCTTGTTCATTTTCTGACTGGTTGAACTTTCTTTCCATTGGTGTTGGTAAGTTGTTCAAGTCCCTTACTAATAGTGTGTTGCTTTCAATATATGTTTTTAGGTTTGATAATACTTGTTTTACATATTTTGTTTCTTCTTCACTTGGTGCATATATATTGATGAATGTTAATGTCTTCTGATATATTACTTACTCATCACCTTATGTCCACTTCTGTCTCTTGTTGCATTTTTTAAACGGGAAGCCTATCTGATATGACTATCTGTTTTTTTTTTAGGGTACTTATAGTTGCTTATAACTTTACTTTGCAACCTTTTATTTGAGCCTGGTTTATTTGAGCCTTAGATCAGTCTTCAGGAAACAGAAAGTTAGATTTTGCTTTCTGATCCTCCATTCTGGGTTTATTGATTGGTGAACTTAGTCCAGTTAAGGGTGATTATTCATTTATGTGTACTTGGTACTGCTATTTTATCTTTAGTTTTCTGACTCTATGTCCTTGTTCAATTTCTTGTGCAATTTTTGATTTAGATATACTCTTTCGGCATTTCTTATAAAGGAAAGCTAGTGTTTGTAAACTCCTTCAGCATCTGTTTATCTTTGAAGGCCTTTATTTCTCCCTCATATCTACTACAGGATGTAGTAGTCTTACCTGGCAGTTTTTATCTTTGACTGCTTTGAATATGTCAGACCATTCTCTGCTATAGATCTTCTACTTGGTCTATTCTGTTGCAAACACTTTTTCTTTAGGTTTTTTTATTGTTGTTTTAAATTTCACTGAGCTCTTTACATTCAATTTACCTGCTGACGAGAGGTGAAAACCTGATGGGATTACCTTTATAAATACCTGCTTTCTCCTCTTTTCCCCCTCACTACTTTCAATGTTCTTTATCTTAAACTCTTGATTATTTCCATTACTATGTGTCTTGATCTAGATCTCATTGCATTTAGATAACCAGGACTCTTAGCTTTATGAACTTACATGTTTAGTTTCTTCCCCCAAGTTTGGAGAGTTTTCCTTTGTGCATAATCTCTGTACCCCTTATCTCTCTTCTTCTGAGATATCATTATTCTTATCTTGTCTTTCCCAATAGAGTCAAATAGTTATTCAATTGCTGCTTCCTTCTTTCCCCTCTTTTATTTCCAGCTTTTTTTCTATCTGGGTCCCTTGTGTATTATTAGCTTCAAAGTCATTATTTGGATCCTCTATTTGGTCTATTCTGTTTCAAAAGCTTTCCTTAGAGTTTTTTTTTTTTTAAGCTCATTGAGCTCTTTATATACAATCTGTTTTTTTTTTATTGATAGTTGTTAATCCTGAAGGTTTCACCTACTTCTTTAAATTTATTTATTTGTACATACAGAATTGGGGTACAGGCCAGAGAACTCAGGGGTGGTGAGAGGCTTCACCACAGACAGAGTGGGTAGCAGATCAGGCAGATCGACGAAGTACACTGCTGAGGGGAGCAGCGGGTGGGTCAGGAGAGGTCTGCCGCGCCATGTGGTCACCTCCGGGGCAGGCGGGAATCGAACTCATGCGGAAGTGGCTTTAGCTTCTCAGTGCAGTGCTTTAACCTGCTGCGCCACCAGGGAGGGCCGGTTTCACCTACTTCTTAAAGCAAACCTTTCCTGTCCCCAATATCTCTACTTGTTCCTATAATTCTCTGTACTTCTCCTGTTGTGACACTGATAATAATCTATTGTGCACGGTTAGTTAGTTGTCTGCCTCCGTCTTTCTGCTGGATTAATAAATTTTTGAAAATGTGGATTAATAAGTTTTTTAAAATGTGTTTCTGTCTTATTATTTGACCCCAGTGCCTGGCTCAGAAACTGACATATATTATTAAATATTTACTGAATGAATTGAATATAAATTACAAAAAGTTAATATTCAAAAATAACACTTTATGATAAAAACAATACCACAAGTATTTTTTCATTTACTTTACCTCAATGATCTATTTATCTTTGTACTCATTTAATCATTGATGTTTATCAGGATCTCTGCACTGCAATATCAATTTTGTCATTTTTAAGATGTAAAGATTGGGAAAATTAAATTTTCTCTTAGATTGAAAGACTTTTGGTCATGAAACTATTATGTCTGGGTTTTTTTTTTGGTACTAAATTTAAATGCTAACGGTCCAGTATAGTCAATGTTTAAAATTTTGAGTTTTGCAGCCAAATTAGGCCTGTTACTAGGCGTAGACAATGTAGCACAAATTTGATAGGTTTTTGTTTTGGTTATCTACTGTGGAATGTTAAGCCACCAGAACTAAGTGGTAGGAAGGCTCAACCATTTTACAATGCTGGATTCTGTAAGATCAAGAATCTAACAGTTGGGACACTGTAGGAGTGGCTTATCTATTCACAGTACATATTCCTCAGACAGGGTGAATAATTGTTAGTGGTTAAAATCAATTGTAGGTTTCTTCACTCAGATGTTCATATCTGGAGTAGTATGGTCTAATGGAACACTTACTAATGACTTTTTGGTGTGGTGTGAACTCACAACATGGCAAGGGAGAACATCTGGAGACCAAATGTTCCAAAAGGAGGAATAGCTGCATGACCTTTTCTGATCTTGCCATTTTGTGTGTGTGTGTGTGTGTTTATGCTAAACTCAACAAGAAAGTAGTATTATCTTGTCATTGCCAATAAACTTACCTCCATATTTGCTTTTTTACTGATAAGTGCCCTTTACCATGTCTTGCAGTTTCATATTTCCATATAAGATCATTTACTTTCTGATTGAAGAAATTATTTTAGCATTTTAAAAAATTATGTCAATAGAGGTAATTTGGTTTAAAAAAAGCTATATATTGGCCCTCCCCGGTGGCGCAGCAGGTTAAAGCACAGCACTGAGAAGCTAAAGCCACTTCCGCATGAGTTCGATCCCCGCCCCCAGAGGTGACCACATGGCGAGGCAGACCTCTCCTGACCCGCCCACTGCTCCCCTCAGCAGTGTACTTCGTTGATCTGCCTGTTCTGCTCTCCTGTCTGTCTCTGATGAAGCCTCTTTGTGCCCCTGTACCTCTGGCCTGCACTCCAGTTCTGTATGGATAAATAAGTAAATCTTTAAAAAAAAAAAAGAAGCTATATATTCAGGTATGCAGGTTCCTATGTCTGCAAATGTAGACATACATGCCCACCATTAAAGCACCAAAAATGTTCCACTGGGCTTCATTGAGTCACCTTCCCCTTATAATATATACCCTGCCCCTTTCATTTTTGGTAGGCTCAGTTTTGCTGTCAGATTTCAAGTTTTTGTTTTGTTCTAATGTTTGTATGTTCCTCTGCCTTTTTATATACCACAGATGTGTGATTTATCTATAATTTGTTCTTCTGACTTACTTTGCTTAGCATAATCCCTTCAGATCCATTCATATCATGCAAGTGGCAGTATTTCACCTTTTTAATGGCTTAGTGGTATTCCATTAAAAATCAGGAAAACAGCAGGTAGAACCCAACAATATCAGTAATTCTGTTATAAAAAGGACTAAATACTCCAATTATAAATGTGTATTCTCCAGTTCACTCTATCCTTGTGCACTTAGGTGGCTTCTAAAACTTGGCTACTGTAAATAGTTCTTCAATGAACACAAGAATCCATATATCCCTTCAAATTAGTGCTTTTGTCACACTTAAGTAGGTACCTAGGAGTGGAATTGATGGATTAGATGAGACCATTTTTTAATATTTTGAGAAACCATTGTTTTCCAAAGGGGTGAACTAAGCCTACATTTCCACCAATCTCTGCTTGTCCACATTCTTGCCAATACTTATTTCTGGACTTAATGAAATAGGTTAAGTTGGTATCATGGTGGTTTAATTTGCAATTCCCTGATAGTGAAAATGAGTATATTTTCATGTGCCTGTTGGTTATCTGAATATCATGTTTGGAAAAGTGTCTAAAGTGTCTATTTAGT